TGGCACGGATTCCAGATGTGCCAAATTGTGCAACACTTCACGTCTAAAATTGACAGGATAGAGGGAGTATTCTATTGTTCTCTATGTCACAGTAATTTTAAGCGTTTGGATCATGTGCAGCGGTTTTGTAACTGAAGGGAGGTTTGTGGATTTGAGATTAGGTTCTTGAGTTCCTCATCAGCAATTGAGCTTTTGCAATTTCAGAGAAAATCTGGGTAGTGAGGTTGATATTGTTTACCCGAGACAAGGCATCAGCGACACAATTTCAGTACCAGAGACATATCTGATATCTGACTAAACTGGGCGATGAATCCAGATGTCGAAGCTGACGAGGAGAACATGAGTCAGAGTTTTTCGAAAAGCGAAGGTTAATGGTCGATGATCGGTGAAAATGATGAAGTCTGTCCTTCCAATTGGTGCCGGAAGTATTTAACAGCACAGTACACCAGCAAGTAGCTCTCTGTCATAGTGCTGTATTTTCCTTTCTGCAGTAGTAAGTTTTCTGGAAAAGAATGCCATTGGGGAAAGTCCTTTAGTGGTATGGGCTTGAAGCACTGCTCCTATGGCCCGTCAGATGCATCTACCATTATAGAGAGCTGATCACTAGGTGAGTGATAGAAAGTTGGGCATTTTGCCAGATCGTGTTTGCATTGCACGAATGCTGCAGATTGCAGATTCAGTCCAAGGGACAGCTCGTTGATCGTTTTTTTTTTTTTTTTTGCTATTCTTCAGAAACTCATGTAGGCAGGCTTGTGTTTTTGCGGCATTTTGGCAGAAAGCGTCGGTAGAAATTTAACATTGCTAGAAAACGCTTCAGTTCAGAGATGGTTTTTGGGCTGGGGTAGGTCGTAATTGCTTTGACTCTTTCCGTAAAGGTTGACTCCATTCTGGGTGATAAGACATCCAAAAAGGAAACTGAGGGTTGACCAAGTACACATTTGGATGGATTTAGTTTTAATCCATGATCTTTAAGGTGAGTGAAAATCTGACACAGATGTTTAAAATGTTCTTCCGCATCTGTAGATGCAACCAGGATATCATCAAATATGGGATGCAGAAATCGAGACCAGACAGTACTTGGGTATGAAACGCTGAAATGTTTGGCCAGCATTGCGAAGGCCAAATGGCATATAAGTACTCAAAGAGGCCAAATGGTGTAGTCACTGCGGTCTTGGGCACATCTTCTCAGCATGCACTGGATCTGATGATATGCTCTGGCAAGATCGAGGGTAGAAAATATGTTTGTTCCATGAAAAAGATGGGTACAGTCTTGGATATGTGGGACTGGATATCTGTCAGGGACTGTGATGGCATTAAGTCGACGATAATCTCCACACGGCCGCCAGTCACCATTAGACTTTTTAACCATGTAAAGTGGACTGGCCCATGGACTTTTAGATGGGCCAATAATTCCCTGTGCTAGCATGAATTCAAATTCTTTGCGAGCAGCTTTTAGCATCTCTGGAGAAAGACGACGAGGCTTGGAAAATACAGGTGGTCCATGTGTTTCAATGTGATGATACACTTCTGGCTGATGAGTATGCTGCCCTGATTTGGATGGGTTTAAAATGTCAGGGAATTCTGCTAATAACCGATGAAACCGTGTACTGCCCGATAAAACGCTTATGTTGGTAGGTACGTTTGATATGTGAGAGCTTGGCCCTGTGATGTCAGCTGAGTTGTAGCATCAATTAAAGCAATTATTCTTGACATCCACTAGAAGGTGGAAACGTGTCAAGTCGACCCCATAATTTGCTTGAGTTACATCCGCAATAATAAAAGGCCAGTTGAAAGTCCGGCGCAAGTTTAAATCAGTGTCAATAGTTTTGGTGCCATAGGTTGCAATTTGGGTACCATTTGGCTGTATGCAGTACAAGTTTATTAAGTTGGTAAGCATTTGTTTTAGTTCTAGATCATTTGCGCTGATATGTCTGCTCCAGTATCCTACCAGAAAACATAACTGAGTTGAACGGATCAGATCTGTACAATTCTGTCAATGTGGCGAACATTCTGTTGGCCAGCAGAAGACCGCCCACTTAGTTTCCCAGTTGTTTAAAAGTACATAGAGGAGCACACTTGCGTGCCTTGAGCAGCCGAAGATTCATATGGTAAAAACATATGCCACTTGCAGGCTCTTTGTATTGCATTCAAGCATTGTGATGACGAGATCGACTTTGGCTTTCGGGCACGAAATTTATTGCATGGGCCCTGATTCGATCGACTGTATCTGCCGTGAAGCATCAAGACTTGTCGAGAGTTCAGACACTTTCTTTGGTCAATTCGGCCACTTTTTGTTCCGAGGGATGAACTTGAAGGTGCAGCATTAGCAGCCACTGACATAAGCTGGAGTAATAAGTTCATTAATTTTGTCAGCCATTGCTGCTAAACGGGTTTAGATCTTCATTGGAAAGCAGCAATGAATTATTTGTATGTTATTAGAGTTATTATTTGTATGAAAGCCATAGTGACTTCAACAAGTCGTCACTGAAATGGTTTCCTGCCAGATCACACATTCATGTACAGCAAGTATGAAGGGTCGCTGATCACCATGTTCAAGTCCTTACAGTAAAGTAAGTATTTTTGAAGATTCACTTTCTGAATTATATTTCAATGAGCTGCTGTTTCAGTTTGGAATATTTGTCACTAGTCAGGTGGTTTAAGTATTAAGTCATGCACTGAATTCAGAATATCGGACTCGATTACTGCAACTACGTGGTTGAATTTTGTAGAATCCTCACTAATGCGAGCGATAGAAAATTGTGCTTCGATCGATCTGAGCGAACCACAATGAAGGATTTTTTTTTTCAGAAAGGCGGTGGCTTCACCGCAACGCGTGTGATTTGTGGCTCTGGTGGAATATCGTCGGGCATACTGATAGATCAATTTTCACTTTAATTATAAACACTTATCAGCACAAATATTGTAGCATGAGGATACACTATTGATATTTGACCATGATAAACAATAAATATTTTAAAAAACCATGCAGAAAATTTACGTACGATACACACACAAATAATACAGGGTCAGCAATTACACACCCAATAATATTTTACCGAAATGCATTGAAGAAACCCTTATTTGAGAAAAAAATGATGCGTGAATTTTTGTATTGCGCACGCACAAAAATCACCACCTCACACTGCTAAGGCACTTTCGAAGGAAAAAGGAAATCACTCCTGTAGCACATGGGAAAAAATTCGCTACTTCGAACACTGAGGGAAGAATTTTGCCGTAGCACGTTGCAGAAAATACTGATGTAGCACATTAGCGAAAATCACTATTGTATCACATTTGTCACAAAAGTTTGAATGATCGAAGAATTATTGCACGACGGCGAAGTCAGCGGAACGGAACAGATACATTGATGATATGCTGAAGCTCCTTGCGATGATATGCACGACTTTGAAAAACAACAGCAATATATATCAATACTTCTAGAAATAATTGAAGGGGTACGTTGTAGCATACGTTTAATGTCCATATTCGTTGTTATTTTTAGTCAGTTCTTCAGAATGCCTTGGATGCACGTGGCTTAGGGTTGTTTGAAAATCCATTCTCAGTAGCGTGCTCAGTCAGTCAAAAGGTCACCACTTTTGGTGGTTGTGTGTGCTTAAAATGCATGATATAATTAAAGAATAAGAGTAGACAATCTCCTATAACAACAAAGAATATATTAAGTACTAAATTACAATTTAAATTACATTGCAGAGATCAACACAGAGCTCGGAACACAGTTCATGCTACCTTCGCGTAACAGTTGTGTGACGAGAAGTCTGAGTGAGTAAAGATGTCGCTTTGCTGCTCCGATTAAGAACTGGATTTTACATGTGGCGCCATCTCATGAATAGAAGTTGAAGTATCTGTCGGAACGCCACATGTACATGGACAAAGTAAAGGGAGTGCACAATGCCAGTTTGTGCAATTCTGGGATTTTTTTTAAGTGAAAATAAGTCAACGTGTACATGGATAAAATTAAAAGAGTGCGCAATGCCATTTTTGTGCTATTCGAGGATTTTTTTTTAAGTGAAAATAGGTCGACGTGTACATAGATAAAGTCAAAGAAATGCGCAGTGCCATTTTTTTGCAATTCGAGGTTTTTTTTTTAAAGTGAAAATAAGTCGATGTGTACATGGATACCGAATTTGTGCAGTTGTTTGTCTTGTTATTTTGGCTTTGTGAAGCGGCGATTTTTGGCCGCTTCACAAGCCAAAATAACGAGTCAAAGCATTGCACAAAATTGTTATCCATGTACCGCCAAAAATCGCCAAGTTTCGCCAAGGCGTACCCTAAACTATACTTTTACCAACATTTTAAATAAATCTACAAGAAATTAATTTTTTTCATCTTTTTATTGGGAAATTCCTTATAATTCCTCTAAAAAATTCATTCTTTAATTGTTATTTTTGACTTTTAATGTAGTTCTTAAAATTTGTTAGTAAGAATGATATAAGTGATTAATTTTTCTTTTGGAACAGAACTTTTAAAATGTCAGTAACCATAAATAATTGAATTTTACACTGTAGTAATTTTTGTAAAGGTAAACTATGATTGAATTTATAAATTCTGACATTTTGTATTTTTGATACTGGCATTCAGTTATTAATGGGTTACTTTTCTTGAAACTCTCTCTTAATAGTATTTTCATCTGATTAATAATTTGAAAGCTGATTTTTTTTTCACATACTGCTATTTCATTTCTTTTTTAATCAGGTAACTTAAAATCTGTATGGAAAAGTTTAGTTTATTTTAAGATACACTTTTTAAGCATAGGTTACAAAAAATTTTGCATGTAATTAAAGATGAAGCAAAATATTTGACATTATAGGATTTAAAATTTTATTTTAGTTCTCTCAGTTGATGCAATGGATGTATCAGGAGAGCAGCAAATCAATGTAGATCATAATATATATAAACGTAGATTAGATGAAGCTGGAAGACCCTTAGAAAAACCAGAAAAAGAGAGTAAATATGTGTATTCCTTTCTTTATTTTTTTAAAAGTATTACTGTTTCATGTTGGATATATTTTAGTTAATAAATGTGTGGAGTTCTTTGTGGGGGAAAAGGTGTGGTGGTTAAATAAAATATTTTTAAAATTAAACATTATGTTTTCATTAATTTAAATGGCAATAAATAGCACTTTTGAGCACTTAATTCATAAATTTACTATAGTAGTTTAAAATTCATATAATTGGAAAGTGATAATGGGATTATCATTATGAATGTTATGAATGTAGAATGTCCAATAAATTATTCCTTGGTAGAATATTAAAAACCTTATTCCAAATTATGTCAATTAAAAACCTTATGCCAAATAAATAAATTCTAAAAAGTGTCTAAAAAAGAAATACATCTGTTTAAAAAATATCAGTAACACCAGGCTTTTATTGCTATGTTGTTAGTTGCATACTGAGTAAAATCAGAGTGAAAATAAAAACATCTTCAACAAAGATCTGCCATGAAAGAACTTCATAGCAGAGTGTGCAGTGAAACCAGTCAAGGATGAGTACTAGCCATCAGCAGTAGCCATATTTCAAATGCCGGCCTAGAACATCCCTACCCACAGATGTAACATTGGTAAGGAAAAGCAGACTGCGTGCTGTTTGTAAAAGCCATGACAAAAAAAAAAAAAAAAAAGAAAGAAAGAAAGAAAGAAAAGAAAGAAATGCCAGAGTGGGAGCCAAATCCTTAACCTCTCTACAGCCATGTATGTAAAAGGCTTTTTTAATATCCAAAAGGTCTGCCGCCGAACAGTAGACAAATTCAACTTTCAGGATCAAATTGATTTAATCAGTATGAAATGGAAACTTACTTTTTTGAAAGCATTGGACAGCAAATTTTATAATTTCTTAAAATGTTATATTACAATTTGATTTAGTAGTGTTGACTTTTGAAATAAAGAGCATGAACTGATTTAAAGAAAAGAAAAAAAAAAAAAAAAAACATGTCTTAATCTTTAATTGATGGTATAAAAATAGATATTTAATATAATTTATTAATTGTTGTACCTTGTAAATAGTTCTCTTGAGCATTCATTTTTGCAGTTTTTTATTTCAAAATTTTCTTCCCCTCCACCCTGGTGAAGAGGCTCTTTTTTTTTTTTTTTTTTTTTTTTTTTTTTTTTTAATACTTTGAATGATTTGGCATGAAAAAGGGCTAAATTTCAGAAGTAGAATGTTTTGCATTGTTACTTTACAAGTTTGCATTGTTATGGTCCAAAATGTTCTGTGAAGTTATATCATGCATTTTCATAATCACAAGTTACCTATACTGGAAGCATGTGTTACATTTTTAATTCTATAAAATGTAAATTCCTTTTTTAATACAGAAATTCAAAAAGCATCTGGTAAAACATACAAATGGTAACAATTACTAAAACATGCACATTAACAAAGAATTTATGGTTCCATCAACTATTTTAGATGTTGAGCATTTTGGCATGTTTCTTTTATGGTAGAAATCTGCTAGAAAATTTGGTCCGGACACTGATGTGAAGGCAACTTTTAATACTTTTCATCCTGATCTTTGGTTAAGAAGATATTTACATCATTAAAGAAAGTAAAAAAGCAAAATGTTATAAATTATAAGCTAAAATATACCAAGTGAGGGAAAGTCTTCTGTCCGGATAAAGCCAGTCATGCTGCTCAAGAAGTTAATTGTTCTTGTGCTTCTTTGCATATTCTGCTTTGAAAGTGCAAGAGCGCTACATTTTTTAGATAAAGAGCATATGTTATATGTCAATTTTAAGGTAAATTTTCATGGAATACAAAATGTTTATTTAAAAAAAAAAAAAAAAAGCATATTTGTTGTTCCTTTCTCTCCCCCTTTTTTAAATCATAATAAAATCATTTTATTTTTAAGATAAGTTCTTTGAAATATGGAAATTTTATTTTATTTATTGTTAATTTTTAGTTTGCAGCTGCCGTTATTAATTCTTCTGACATGTTTTTTTTATGTAATGACTATAAAATAATATTTTGGTGTAAGATTTCTGTTACGGATTCCATTAATTTTTGTACTTTGAAAATGATGTTCTGACTTAATTAATATTTTTTCCCCCTTGATTTCCATTTCTAGAAGTTGGAGAAGCAAAAATCTTAAATATAGTATGTATATTTTTAAATATTAGAAATTTGTAACTATCATATATTTTAGTATCATGCAGATATTATTGATTTCAGAACTGTTTTATGACTGTTATTTAAAAGAATCTTCAAAATAGAAATAAAAAATGTCTAACTCGTAAATTCAGTTTATATTGTATGAAAATAAAAATTTTGTTAAGTGAATTTTTTAATATAAAATAAGATTTTTGTATTATAGCACTTTATTCAATATTTTATTTAATGCTGTCTAGTATGTTTGCAGGCTTATTACCTTTATGTTTCCAAACTTTGCTTAAGCAGTACTTGTGTATTATCCCATCCACCAAGAAGTTTTCGCCAGGCAGTATAATTTAGGTCCAGTTATGGATAAGAATGACATAGCAGTGCGCTCATAACGTCTGCACTGTTGTTTGACATAATCCTGAATGATTTCCGATAATATACCTTTTTTTTTTTTTTAACAAAGATATATAAGTCAACTATTAGTATTATATTTTTCTTGTACTTTGAAAAAAAAAAAAAAAAAAAGATTAAAATTTGGGGTCTGTCTTCTGTAGAGTAGCAAGCAGTGGATTATTTTCAAAGTTATGAGATCCTGCCAAAAAAAAAAAGTGTGTATTAATGGACTTGATATGATCAGCTGAACATGGCTGACAAAGAAGTTAAAGATTGGAAACATTTACTAGGAAGTTTATATTCAAAGTATTTTAAAAAGAATTTCTGTAAAATTGGAAAGTCTTATGTGCGACTAAAATCGAAACAGACATACAATTTAAAGAAATAAAAAGGAAGGTAACTTTCTTACCTTAATCATTTTCATGCATTCATAGGTTTTTATGCTGGGAAGGCTGATAATTCCTAGATATCCTTAAACTACTACTGTGAAACTGATAAAACAACATTTATTCACTATACACCCACCTAGAATTTTGAATTCACAGAACAATGAACACAAATAAAAAAAAAGCAAAGATGAGAACCGTCAAAATTCTGTGGGCATGCACAAATGCCTGAATTCCAATCAGAAGTATTCCATTTCACACTATGGGAAAATGTCTTACACAATGTCTTACATTGTGCTCTGGAGACTGAAAGCTACTAGAGTCACAATATGCAAAGTTACAGGTTAAATTTGTGGGATGTTTCACAATTTCTTCATACAGTACAAAGTCTACTCCGGACGTCCATTATCCGGAATGATCTATAATCCAAACCTCAAAGCCACAAACTTTCACATGCGCATTTGAAGTGTACGTCCGCTACTTATGTACGTAATGCCAGTAAAGCGTATACCCATGCACGCTTCCGATAGTGAAGAAAGTAACAGAGAACGTTATTGAAAACGAAAAAATTTTGATTGACAAGTTAGTCGGTATTCTCGACACAGCAATTACAGGACTTGAACAGTGGAACTCTGTAACTGAACAAAAAATTATGTCTGTTTATAGAATTAAAGAGAAAGTATTAGCACAAAAAATGAAGCAACTTAAACAACTTAACATTGATAGAAATGTTTACTAAAGTAAACAAATAAATATTAAGCTTTTTTTTTTTTTTTTTTTTTGTAAATTTTGATACCCTTTAAATCATAATTGTTCTTTATTTCATAAATGATGGTTTCATATTTTTAATTGTATAATTTCTGCATGGCATCTTACCAGATTTAAATTGATGAACTATAACCTGGGAAAACTCCTAATCCAGAATCACCAAATCCCGACGAGCCTGACGAATCACCAAAGTCTTCGCATGGGATGTTCTGGACAGTATTGCACTGTCAGGCACATTTGGAGATTCTAGGGAATCTCTTTTGAAGATATCCTTTTTACAAGATAGATGAGTTGATGAACTGTTTGTTTGATCTGAAAGTGATATCTTGCTAAGCAGAATTCTGTTCTCGTCATCTACTTAAAGGGGGTAAAATCTTTGGTACAGCCTAAGGAGTTCGCTAATCATTGTCATTATGTGAGCAACACGAGTATTTTTGTCTTGTCTGGTTCAAATATTTTAAATTCAAATATTTTAGCCATAGGCCATTCTGCTTGTTTACTGTTGTCACTTCCAGTGAGAACACTTTGATATACTCTAAGGGTGATTTAGTGTTTGCTACTGAAGTAAGATTTCATTTAATCCAGATGCTTTATTTGAAATCTTTTCATGATATCTTGCTTAAGTTTCTGAGAATAAAGAAAGTGTTTTGTAAATGAGTTGAATTGAAAATGTGTAATTCAAGTGCAGATCTAGTTAGTGTTTCTTTTAAAAATAAAGATGAAGTTAAAAATTCTAAGTCTTCAACATCTTCTGACAGATAAGTCAAGGGGTGGCTATTGATTATGTGTTCTACTTCACATAAAATGGTAGTCAACTCATATTGTAGTATTCTTAAGAATTTCTTGGTCATTCCAATTAACTGCTTTCACATTTGCCCCACTAGGCAGTGGTAAGAGGGATGAAAATCCACCAAATCTGCTTAAGCTAATTCCTGTATCTATTGCCATTGTATGCAGTGGAAAACATTGCTGGTTTTAGCGAGATACATACCGTTGTCAGAATAAATATACAAAGGCTTTCCCCAGCTTGATACAAAGCTCCAAAAGGCCAGCAAAAAGGTCTTGGTGCTCGGTGATCATATTAACTCTATATGAGCACCACTCTAGTCACTGCACATCTGAAGAGGAGGAACCAAGCCTTATCTCCATTTCTTTCTTCCCAAATCAATATCCATTATTTCAAAAGCAGCTGCATTTTTTATATAATTTTCTGATAAAGGTACATGTATAACCTCGCAAGAAATCTGCAACCTGTTGCAGATATTTGTTTGCTCCTGATTAAGAGGGATTAGTATATGGTTTCCCTTGAAATCAATAGTCTTAACTAAAATATATGCCAAACACATGGTTATTGCTTTGCCTAAAAATCTTACTTTTCCTATACCTGTTCAAGCAGCCATATGAGTATAAAAAAGCAGTCTCTCCAAAGTATTTGGCAAATGCATTGGCCTTTTCTTGAAGCATTTGTTCATATATTGACAGATTACAGCTTTTTTTCTGATGGTGAACCATTCCAGCAGTGCTTCTACAGCATCCGTATGCTCAGGCCTTTTGTAGTTTCTTCTCAAATCCGAGTTTTTTCAATCAGCAGGAATAATTTAGTCCCTGTATTTTTTTTATATGAGAACAACTGTAGATTTGGATAAATTGTATTCCCAGTAGATATAGATTTGACTGCTTCCATTTTGTATTTTTCAAATAAGGTTGTCTTTATCTTTGATGCAGAATGCTTTATGTTTGCACCTTTCCAATGGATGAATTTTTGACACAGAGTGCTGAGAATTAGGTCAAAGGATATATGCGTGTTTAAATCTTCTAGAAAAGCTGAAAAGGGAAGAATGCATTCATCTTCTCCATGATATGTATGGTTACTAAGAAGCTATTCGATGAGCTTTGTATAGGATACCATAAGTTTCAGTCAAGACTTAAAGAATGCAAAACCCGCATTTTGAAGCTAAAAGTTTGAATGCATTTATACTCAGACAAAGCAAACCAGTAAAGATGAAATTCTTCTTTCTCTAAAAGGTGAATCAACTGTATAGACCTTAGTTCAGAAGATTCAATAGATCTTTTATGCCTGATTAAGAAAAATTTCAAAATTTTCATCATAGCATCAGCTTTGGATAGAACTGTGTCTGACAGCTTAATCAAAGAATCTGATTGGGAATCAGAGAACCCATTCACATACTTTCGTTCACTGGTTACATAAACCATATTGCATCAAAAGATATGTTTATTGTGTGTCCCGATTCTTCTATCATCGGATGTCACTCCTCCTTACATAGCCTTTGTTTAGAACACAGAGAAAGTGTAAAGGGAAGCTAAAAGAATAGTAACATAAAATACTTGTTCTTTACAAATAGATATTGTGAAATGTACATGGAAGTTGATCCTAGCATCTTAAATGTGGACGTTTTAGGCTTGCTATTGGAGTATAAAATTGCATTACATCTATAAGAAATTGGATGGGACCAAAGTTCATTCATTATAATTGCTGGTTCTTACTGTGGGTTCATTAGAGTGAGATTTAACTGTATAAGATAAAATGTTAAACTTTTGTTAAAATTTTTGTATCTTTCTTTTGAGGATACTCTTGAATTTATCCCTTGGAAAGGGGAACGGAATTTATGTACAAATAATTTATTGGGATTTGATTAAAAATAAATGCATAAAATTATTCTGTAAATAAATTTATAAAATTAGACTACAGTAATGAAATGGATCTATTCATGTGTTATTTTATAAATCGGGATGACATTTTGAATCAGAGATACATTTAACAAGTGAGAAGTTTTAATGAAGTACTTTCTAATTTTTAAACACAATGAAAGACTAGGAGAAAAGAATAAGGTTGCCCAGGTCATAAACTCAAGATATGCTGCTGGTATTTATGTTGTTACATTTTTTGTATTTATTTAGCTATTTTTAGTAGAATTTATAATTAAAATATTTTTATATCACCGTACAATGCAGCATGAGACTTATTTGAAGGAAAGCTACTCCAGAAAAACTAAAATACAGGAGCATGCGCACTTAACATTTTAATAAATAGATATCTTGTAATTGTACTCTTTTGCTATCCAGAAAAGTCAAGAAAATATGAGAGGGTTCTCGTGCATGATTAAAAAGCTGGAGGTAAACATCTCAGTTCAGTTGTTTACTTATTGCTGTAAATGATTGTTGTGAATTCATGGTGAGATCGGATTAGCTTTCTCTGTGTTTTTGAATTTGAGTTCTATTTTTATTTTAGTACTAATTCAGAAGTCAAAACAACAAAAATCAGCGTTATTTACACAAAATTTTCACAGTACTAGTTTCAAAGCGGTTTTGCAGCTGAGGATAGTGGTTTGGTAAAACCATTGAAACTAGTACTGTGAAAACCATTGAACTAGTACTGTGAAAATTTTGTAAATAACGCTGATTTTTGTTGTTTTGACTTCTGAATTAGTATTTATTCGTCGTGTTATTCTGTCTTAATTTTATTTTAGTAGTTTAAAATATGACTACTGTGAGATATTGCGATATTGTACAAATATCTCTGAGGCAATTTCAGGATTTTGTTTTGTTTGTTGTGATAAGAATAAATTTTATTAACTTCTTATCAACTTGTGCATTCAATCCATTATGAACCTGTAGGCACACAACAATATCATATTTTCTTCAAATTTTTACAGAAAAAAAACCTATTTTTTCTCAGTGCTGTTTCATGTAATTGCACTTCAATCATGAAGATACTGTTTTACAATAATCATAACAACAATCTTATTCTAATAATAAAACCATCCGTTCAGCTCTTGAAGTAAAAAATTTAACTTATATTTTCCAGCAATTTTTAAAAATTATTTTGTATAACTGAATAACTTATAAAATAAGAAATAATTATTTCACTAACTTTGACCTTTGTCTTGATTAATGAATGGAAATTCTGTCATTCTGTGGGGAAATAGCATATAGTTAACATTTTATACTTTCATACAATTACATGAAACAGCACTGAGAAATTATGCATGAGATTTCATGCAATTACATGAAACAGCACTGAGAAAAAATAGGTTTTTTTCTGTAAAAATTTGAAGAAAATATGATATTGTTGTGTGCATACAGGTTCATAATGGAGACAAAACAAAGTATGTTTCTACTTCTCAAGGTATAAGATTCAGGTAAAATAATAAAGGAACATAAATAATACAATAAGAAAATAAGAAACATTGTAAATCTTCCTTGTTTTTAAATTACATTCAGTGTTAGAATTAGTTAAATATACTTCATTTTATACAGATATTCTAGATGAAATTTTTAAATTTCTGTGTGTTTTATGATATTTTACAATGATTGTTCATTCGTAACTGATAATTTCAGAATATTATTGGAAGTAACAGTTGCAATTTATCATTATATGAAATAATTAATAAAAATGTACTCATATTTGGGTATAAGTACATTGTTTGCTATATACTTATATTTAATTTTATTACAGACTGTTCCACCAACTTTAGATCCAAACCGATGTGAGAGTTGCTATGGTGCTGATATTCCACCAAAAAAGTAAAAAATTATTAATGATTTTCAAATCTGAATTATTATTAAGTTTCTATTCCTCTAAATTTTTTATTTTTATAATTGTTTCAATGATTTTTTGTTGTCTTGTCCAGGGCTTCTTAAACTTTTTTCAGTTGCAACCCCTTTTTATCACTAAGATTTTTTTCACAACCTGCTGGACCCCATAATGTTTACAAAAATTTTGTGGGACCCCCCATAAGCGTTGAGCAAATCCGACACACACGCGTGAGTGAAACCGTCAATTTTTTCACTTGTACTGTTAATATACTGTTGCAGTTTTAGGTCATTAACTTTAATTTCTAATTTTAAGACATAGAACAATGTGAACATTTTAAATAAATAACAGATGAAATGACAGTGTCACGTGCAAAGCAAGTAAAATGAACGTTATATTATAAAGAGGCTGCATCGAAACTTTTTCGATTTTTCTTTGTAACCAACCTTTTTTTTTTGTCTTATCTGTATCTAGTTTCAGATACGTTGTGTAAAAAATATTTGGTAATTGTAAAATTATTATAATAAGTTAAAAAATTATCAATACTGCTAAAATTTTTGACGACCCCATGGACTTCACGACCCACAGTTTAAGAAATTTTGGTCTTGTCCATGAATTTCATGGAAGAATGGTTGCCAGAGTCTCAAGGAGTTTGGACTTCTATTTTCACCCCAATTTCGAGGGAGAGCACCCTGGAGGGGGGTCCAAGGGTCTCCTACCCCTCTTCCCTACCACCAATCCATATAAGAGCACTTTCGGCATATAATATATTTAGAGTTCCCCCATGCTGCAAAGACATTATACATTACAAACATCCATACCTTCTCCGTAATTTGAACACAGACCTCCGGTACCACATTAGGCTCCCCTAACCACTATACCATCTGGGCGACTGTTTTAATGATACTTCCTGATTATTTGCATCCTAAAAAAAGTTACTATCTCATTGGGTAATTTTGCTGATGACATTTATTTATCTTTACAAATCATAGGTACCGCTCTGTTCATAAACTATGATAAATATAAATATTTCATAAAAAAAGAGAAAAAAATTATGGGAAGGGATGAAAATTTATATGGCCAATATTTAGTTTTTACAGGTGGTGGATTTTATTAAGTGAAAATATGGTTAAATATAAAAGGTATAAATACAAACGTACTCAGTGTGTACATGCTTACAGGTGTTGGCTCTTGACTTATGTGTACTCGGAAAATATGCCCAAAACATGACACTTGCACAGAATGATGAAGTAAATACAGGGTGCAAATATTCAGAAATTGCTTTTATGATTAATGTCTGTTTTTACTTCTTCTGGAAAAATATGTCCTCCCCGCCAAAAAAATTACAGATGCCCTGAATATTTCTTAATTGTGTTGTTTGTTAATGTATGTATGTGAAAATGATAGCATTATAATAATAATTGAATAATACAAATTTATATAATGCATGTAAATTCAAGAGAAAAAAAAATGAAATGTTTTGAAAGTACTCATTCAATGTAAAAAGTTCAGGAATTTTAGGAAGAGAGAATAAATTGTGTTAATTCTGTAGCCATTTTTCTATTTATGTAATCTATATGTAGATATATTTATCTTCAACATGAGTTTTAATTTTGTTTATATGTATAATAAACACTGCATTTTATGCAAACATTAATTTTAAATTCACATGATTACAATATTATTGAATCAAACATAATTTAAATGTTAAGATCCACCCTTAATAACTTTTCTGCGCATGGACAGAATAGCATTCGAGCTGGTGTCGAAGTCACATTTGTTAAGAGTTCCAAGTTCTGTGATACCATTCCGTGCGGGTTCTGGATACACAAGTTATGTGTATTTTTAATGCAAAAACAAATTGTGGACTCGTAATTTTGTTTTCCTCATCATAAGTTTAGCGAAAAAATGCAAATACAATTATTATATTAAATGCGGTTTTGTTGCTATACTAAAAAATGGTGTCAACTAGCGGCAGTGTATTATTTATTACAAAATATTGAGCATTGATGCTGTGAGACCTTCTTGTCTGGATCAAAATTTGTTGACAAAACATAGTGCATTAAAAGACAAACTGAAGGATTTTTTACCTGCAAAATGTAGAAACATCTGAAATTGGATAATACTGGATCTTATACTTAGTCATCTGAAAAGCCACTAGAAACTTGAGTTATCTCTACACATCGCCAAGAAAAGTCATTATTGGGTAAACACTCATTAGACCTTGCCTATTGAAACCAGATGATATTGTTCTTGGACTAGAGAGTAAATGAAATCTCTCACAAATACTACTTTTTGCAACACTATGAAACATTGCATTGATGATATGGCCGAAGTTAGTGCAGGCCATTAAAGAATCAAATTGTTTCGCAATACACTTGGATAAGAGTACACATGTTGCAAAATGTTGTCAACTGTTAGTTTTCATTTGGTTCATACAAAATAAAACAAAGACAAGATTTCTGCAGAGTTAACAACTACTTCAAAAGCAATTCATATAGTGGCAGCAGTCTCAGAGTTCTTTTGCAAATATGAACTGTCATGACAAAAGCTGATAGGTGTATGCACAGACAGTGCACTACCAGTGCTTGGATCTCGCTCAAGATTCACACAGATAGTCAGAGAAAAAATTCCTAATGTTACAGCTATTCACTGTATTATACACCATTAACTCTTGGCAGCTAAGAAACTTCCAAATGAACTCAACAATGTCTTAAAATTATGCATCAAAATTGTCAGTCATGTTAAAATCATGCTTTAAATACTCAACTTTCTATGCCCTTTTGTTAAGATTTGGGAACAGAACATAAAGCACTGTTATTTCATACAGAAGTTCACTGCTTCTCAAAAGGAAGCAAGGTTGTTTGAACTTCGAGATGAAGTAATTCAGTTTTTGGAAATTCAAAATCAAACTGAATTGGAATGAAACTTGAATACTTGGCTTTCGGAATTGTGGAATTCCGAAAGCCAAGTATTCAAGTTGTACTGGCTTATCTATCAGATTTTTTAGATTCATTGAATTCGAAATTACAAGATGGAGATTTGAACATAATTTATCATTGGAATGACATCACAGTGTATACTGATAAATTATAACTCCGGGAATATAAAACTTTAGCCTACAATTATTCCTGCTTTCCCAAGTTATTTTGAATGCTGGAAGAAAGGTGCTTTAAGGATACTGACACAAAGAATAAAATATCAAATCATTTGCAGCACCTCACTGATGAATTCAAGCATTACTTCTCTAATTCCTGTGATAAAAATATTTAACGCTGTGTTATCAGGACCAGATTCGGAAATGTATTAATATGTGTTTGTATGTATACACACAATTACATTCGTACTTACATATCTGAATCCAGTCCTGTTAATAGAACATTGCCAAGTATTCATAGAATGGTGACGGTTCCTTTTTACGTTGACATAGATATACTACCAGAAACACTACAAGAGCAAGCTTTAGAAATTAAAAATGATTCTACAGCCAAATATGACTTTAAGAAGATGGATAAGCCATTATTTTGGGTATAATATCTCAAAGTTTATACCACCATAGCAGGGCAAGCACTATAAATGTATTTACAAGCACTTATTTGTGCGGAAGAGCGTTTTCAACAGTTTTATCAATGAAAATGAAGTATAGAAGCAAACTCAGTATTGCCAGTGATTTACCTAGTGCCTTTCTTCTATTCAACTAAGAATTAAATATTTTGTCAAAAATATGCAAGCACCATCCATCTCATTGATTTATCTGTTTTTCCCTTACCTTATGTGTTCTGATATGGCATAGTTCTATAATAAAACCTTTATAAATTATGTTTCTTACATGTAGATAGTATTATTGTTATTATTAGGGAATAGGGGTGCAGTAAGTTTTATATTTGGTACTAGGGACACAGGACGAAATCTTTGGTAACACATGTTCTATTGTTTATTTTGTCATATTAAGTATGATTATCAGTTTAAAGAAAAAGTTTTAATGAGAAGTAGGTATAAACTAACATCATAAATAGAATTGTGTCATAGTAATAATAATGTATTGTGCAGGCAGTTGGTTCTTGAATTACGCACGTGTATAGGGATGCCAGAATATTGTGCAATTCCAAATCCATATGCTACTGTTAATTATCTGTTGTTGATCAGAAGTTTCATTGATGATGTAAATGATATAGTAATGTAAATTTGTGTGGTGCAGCTTTATATACAGTACTACAATAAGCTGTATTATTTACAAGGCATAAAGATTTATGCATTGATAACAAGGCAACAGCATATGATAACTTTATCATATCAAAGTTATTGCCATATATATAAATTTGCTGGTAGCCTGGTTTGTGCATTTATATATCATTCTAAAAATTTTGCAATACGGAACATTGCATTCATATTAGTAATATAATATCTGTAAGCATTACTGAATTTAAAAAGTCTGCTGTGTCTCTCAAGTAAGTCAACATTTTCTTCCATGTTTTTCATCTCTTTCTTAACTAGAAGCATTTGGTATGTAACATATTGTGTTAAATTTGTGGAACCAAGAAACTGTAGGAAATAACATTTACTACAATGCTTAATGTTTGAGGTTTACAAACTGTTCAGGTGGAAATGATGAGCATCATATGGCAATTTAAGCAGATAATGGGAAATGCCGACCTTACCAAAATACTAGCAAGGTGATAGTAGAGGACTAAAATAATTTATTACAGAAATGATTTGTCTTTACGTTTATTTGTATTTATCTTCCTGTCACCTAAAGTGGGCAAGAAATTATGAACACATTTAATTTTTTGTAACATATTTTTATTCATTTTATGGTTATAAATGATAAATAGACCAGTATCTACTTGCATTTTGTACATTCAAGATATATCCAGTTTTTTTTAAAGCTTTGTAATATTATGTTTTTTGTCTATTAGTTTTTCAGTTTCTTATAAATCTTGGAGACTTATATCAAAATATTTAAAGAAAAAGTCTACATATAAACAGATCAACTCCATTAACACCTGTGTATTTCTAATGTCAGTTATATTTGTGCGAGTTACCAATCTTCCGAGTTACCAATATTGTAGAAAATAAAGTGGCAACACCTTTGCAGTTTTATAATTTGACAAAAAAAATAAAGCATACACAAACATGACAAAAAAAAATAAAGCATACACAAAATAATGTCAATGTGCATTTCCAAATTTTAAAAGCTTCAAATATATGTTTTCTGCCGCAGTGTGTTATAATTTATGATCACAAAAAAAAAAAAAAAAAGCAAGGGACATTTTGTCCATATTTCTAATTTTTTTAATTAAAGATATTTAAAATGTGACAATGAGTAGAAATTATAATTATGTAGAAATATAGTAGCAGTTAACAAAATTTTAAATTTATGTAGATAACTATTAAATGTCCTCATTAAATTAATTCACTTTTAAAAATGTAGCCTTCCATAAAATAATATACAGTATAAAAGAAATTAGAAAATAAAATCATGTTTACTTTAAACAGGGAATAATCAACATGCTTCCACCCATTTTAGTCACTTATTATGCATATGTGTTTGTGTATATAAATATGTCAAGAATTTAATTATAGTAAAATAAGTTATGAAGAGGCAATAAATAACTCAAAATTTTTTGAATAAAATATTTCTTGAGAAATTAAATAATACTTAATAAAATACTTTAATAAAAATGGTACCTCATTGTAAAAATTAAACAATTTTATTATTCTGAAAAATTTAAGTTAAATTTCTAAGAATAATTTTAAATTTTAGCATTCTTATTGTATTATGTGAGTGCAAACTTGTTTTTTTTTAATGTTCTCCCAATAAAATATAAGTCATTCTGCCATATTTTGCTGTAACAGTAAATCAGCAACAAACCAATTAACTGTAGGAAAATATTAATAAATTCATACTTTAAGAAGGGATAAACTGAAGAAAAGCAAAATATCTTTACTGAAAAAATATCCGCCTGATAACAGTTAACAAAATGATTGTATAATTTGACAATCAATAATACAGTTTTATTATTAATAATTTTATACAATTTCTCTTATTTTTCTATTTTTTTTTTTTTTTATTTATGCTTTTTCTTAGAGAAATATTAATCTGGTTTTAAAACAGATTAATTAATTATTCCTAATAGCACACATATGAGTATAAAATTCTATGGACTGCTATATGTAGCTGTAATTTTTACTAATTTTGAAATTTTTAATCATAGCATCTTAATTGATTTTCCAGTGAAAAATTAGGTAATTAATAAAATTTAAAATAGTATGGGTAAAAATATTTCTTGTTTTTTGTTGTGTTCACTGTTTGGGTGTTTTGTAAGATGATTTATTTTTACCTTGATGTTTTATGTGTTGATATTTTGGAGTTCTAAAAAACTAAACTCAGAGGCGCGAACAGCCCTAATGGGCCAAGACCTGCAGTGGCCCGAAATCTGCTTTCTTGACCGTGGGCCCCAGGGTGCGTAAGCATATGCCCTCAACAAGTGGTCAGCTTGTTGCAGGCCCCCCAGTGTTTAGTCCCCAAGCGAAATTGGTACTTATTTTATCGACCCAAGGGATGGAAATCAAGGGATGATGGGCTGAGTCGACATTGCCTAGCGCGGGGTTCAAACCCTGGACCTGTGGCGCTGCTGCGCGATGCGCTAGCCACTGCGTCACCGGCCCCTATTCTGGTGTTCTATCATTTCGTTATTTTATGCCACAATAGCTTATACTGCGATATTTCAGAACTTCAGTGTTTTCTCCATGCTTTCTTTTCTTCAATGGTGTTTCGTATGAAGAGGCTTTCCTTCACATGGTTTCTCTCCAAGTTGTTTATCTTCACAGTGTTTTTTCAGCAAACACCATATGTGTGGATTTTTGAACTCTTAAGTAACCAAATATGTTTAAATTTAAATATTTATTATTTGCTAAAGAAAAGACTGTAAATATTTTCTGTGCCTCTCGGAATTGTAACTGAATTAAATTATATCCATATTGTGATTGTCATGGATATATTTCTGTGTTAAATTAACAACTTTTCAATTTTATTCAGTTTTCTTCTGTTCAAAAGTATTAAATTATTACATGCAATGTTATACTACAGATTATTATATAAATATTAAAAAAAAAAAAAAACACTGAAGGAAGATTTTCTCTTTTCTCAGTTGTTGCAATACATGTGAAGAGGTTCAGAATGCATACCGTATGAAAGGGTGGGCAGCTCCTGATGCTGATACCATTGAACAATGCAGGAGAGAAGGTTGGACCAAAACACTTCAGTCAGTTGATAAAGAAGGATGTCAGATTTTTGGTTATCTTGATGTTAATAGGGTAAGATTAAATCTGAAATTTTTTACTTTTATGTAAGATGCACATTTTAAGTTTGAAGTTGCATTAAGAGTTCCATAGTTAGTTTATTTAAGTTTGTTGAAAGAACTTTTTGCAGTGTAATGGAATAATTTCATCAAAAGTAAATATTCATTTCTTTCAAATTTACTCTCTATTATTTTTTTAGGTTGCAGGAAATTTTCATATTGCTCCTGGAAGAACATATACCCAGCACCATGTCCATGGTATGGAATAACTTTTAATATTTTAAAATCAGCATATTCAGTGAATATTTTATTTGCATAATTTATGAATAATCTAACACCATAGTGTATTAAGTATTTTTTTATGTTTTTTAATCAATGAAATAAATCCTTTTTTAGGAGATTTTATGATCCTCTCAGTCTTATTTGCTATAAAAGAAATTAACATCTTCTCCCTCTTTAACTGTACATGTTTACAAGTACCACATTTATACTAACATAAACATACATATCAGGAGACTGCCAACTCTCAGTCTCCTGATAGATAATTGAATCTACTGATTTTTAATTTTTCGCCTTTAATAAGAAAAACTACCAATGAAAATGTTTTCCAGCAATGAATTAAGTTTATTGAAGTAAAGAAACTAAACATGCAAATTCCATTCCCCCATCTTATTTGATTTTCAGTAAAATTTTTCTTATTAAATTTTATTTGATCTGAATTACTACAGACATTTGCAGAATTTTTATAAAAATTGAACCAATGTTTAAGTGGTTAATATTTGTATTTAGTATGGTTTTACAAAAAGGTGCATGAGTAAATTTATCCACACAATAGTATATACATTAACTATTAATTTTATTTTCATCATATTTAAAACTATTTTGTTCAGTAAAAGCTTGTCTTTCTTACTAAGTATTTTCTTAGTATAAAAGTATGAAGAAATTGTAAAATGAAATTAATAAGATTAATAAGATTAAATGTTAGTATATTTTACACCAATATGATATTATAAATAATACAGTAATCTAAACTATATGTTATAAAGTAAATTTAAGTCAGTTTGAAGTTCTTTAGAAATAACATTACCGTGCAACCACCAGAAGTCACAAACTCCCAATTTAGGTGGGAGACTCTTAATTTCCAACTGTACTCTTGCAAACCTGATTTTCAACATATTTTTCCTGACTTCTCTTATTTTTAAAATCTCTCATGATTTTTATCTACTTGTCTTAATACTTTCTTATTTGCACTCAAAGTAAGTGAACTTGAAAGCATTTGTTTTTCTCTAAATGCATATAAAAAAACCAATGTTGTTTCATCAGTGAGATATGGTGCGTTTCTGCTTTGTGTATGAGAGTCTAAAACCTGTGTCCGAAAACATCATGTTCCAGATTTCCAATGAGAATCAAGCCCCACTGTCGGTCATCTTGCATATATTAACCAGTGAGCATAAAGTAATTTCGAGGTTGTTTATTTTGTTTGTCTCCCCAGATCCTAAGTTTCACGTGCTTCCCAGAAACAGTTTAAGAAATTGCAATCTTTTGTCTTAGTTATGTCTGCGAAAGATGTAATATACTCATGTACTTTTCAAAAATCATACACAGATGACTTTCCTTCTAGTATTTCGTCAAGGAAATGTAGTGCAGTAGAGTCCCGGAAACTCGACATAATGTGCACTGACAGACTGTTGAGTTTCTAAAAAGTCAAGTTTTACAGAATAAGGGGTGGGTTTATCAGAACTCTTAATATTTAGCTCTAAATTACTCTAGACATTCATATCACAATATTAGACATAAAAAAGTACAGCATACAATTAAATTAATGTGGATTTTTTTATTTCGAGTTCTAGCACAATAGGAGTCATAAAAAGAACAAATACACTAAGAAAATAGAGTAAAAAAAAACTTAATAGAAAAAGGAAGAAAAATTATTAGTAGTTCTTGGTAGAAAAATATCATGTTGTGGTAGTTTGTCTCTCGCACTCATTCCGTCGTCGTGCAGCTTCATCCCGTAGGCGATGGAGGAACAAAATGTCCATACTAAATGCACTTTGCTCCCCATTCTTTCCTGGATGCCGGCTTTTTTTAAGTTAGGATTCGGAAATTCAGACCGGTCTCATCACAATTATAAATTTGATCTCCAGATATACCCTTCTTTCCAATCAAATTGTCCTTGAATATTGCAGCAATTTCCAAGTTAGTAAATAGCTTTTCCCCACAAACGTTTAACTGCTGATGCCTGTCCACTTTTTTCATCTATCAAGTCAGCCAACACTAGCAGTAAATCCAGGCTCTCCTTCTTGAAATTCATCATAAAATTTTAGGGTTTTTTCTTTTAAAATTGGTCCCAAAATGTGTGTTTCCTGTTCCTTTTGCTGCATGAACCACAAATAAAGCACCTCGCTCACTTTTTCGTATTCACCACCTTTCATAATTTTTTTCTTTCCTTTAAGCTATCTGCACATTCTCTTTTCACATACCAAGACTTGATTTAGAACCTCTTCTTTTTTCACCCCATCAAAGTAATCCATTCAACACTTAAATTCATAGTAATTTTGTTTACACTTTCCCCTTTGTCCAGTCTCATAAAGGCATCTAGTTTCATTTCCATTATCACATTAGTTTGTTTTCTTTTCTTTTCAAATGACATTTTCATTTCACAGAGTATCAAAAGTTCCCTAAAATATGTTAACGCTTATATACCTGGATGTGAACCGAGGATGGATATCCACAATGAACTGGTGTGAGTTTAGTTTACAATATGTTGCAGTCACAAAACTTCAGACATGTTTCTTAACATTTTGCAACAATAGAAAGGAATGTGAGCCAGTGGCCAGCTGCTACAAGACTTTCTTCGTATCCTCATAAGAAAGAAACAGCATTGCCAAGTATTGCAACATATGGTGAAATTTGTTAGGCAGTTCCAAGAATTAATGGCACAATGCGAAAACAGCTAAAATTGCAAAAAAAGAACACTCAAATCTTTGAACAGAACAAGAAAGACATACGCATAAATAACTATTATATGTACTGTATGTAATATTTGCTCTGTTTGGCATAGAGATATTTTTAACCTTTTAACCCTTTAACTGTCAAGTTATTTTGATGATTTGGATACCCAAATTGTCAAATTTTTTTATTGCAAAAATCAAAGGTTTAGTACAAAATAAAATATACTTAAGTAGTTCAAAATTGATATTTTGAAGTACATGGGTAAAATTTTTAAAGTTTTGTAGCCACTGCATATTTGCTTGAGGCAGCTGCCACTCAACATGGCAGTTGTAAAGTTCGCTTCTAGTGAAGCATTATTTTCTAAAAATGAAAAAAATTAATTATTTTCATTTTTAGAAAGGCGAAGATTGTTTCTATTTGCAGTCTAACTATGGGTGGTGTAGATTGCTGTGATTAGGAAATATCCTTTCATCCAACAATCCGTTAAACATCAGAAAAAATATTATAAAAAGATATTTTTACATTTACTAGAAAGGTACTTTGGAACTCATATTTGCTCTATAAAAATGTAGTTGGGAAACATATTACATTTCTAGAATTTCGAATCCAAGTTATAGAAGAGCTTTTACATAAATATGATGATGCAGCTTCTGGACAAAAGAATGTTGGCAGACCACTTACAATAGATAACCCTGCCCGTCTTACTGAACGACATTTCATATCCCATATTCCTCCTACTCCTGCGAAACATGCGCCTACAAGACAGTGCAAAGTGTGTTGTTCGAAAAAGGATAAAAATGAGGAAAAGATAAGGAAGGAATCACGATTCTGGTGTAGTGATTGTTGAGTTGGTTTGTGCTTGGAAAAGTGTTTCCAGTTGTATCACACAAGACTGAATTACTGAACTACTAATAGGTATTCACTTATATTTATTTCTTTTTTAGAAAATAATAATTTTTTTTCATTTTTAGAAAATAATGCTCCACTAGAAGCGAACTTTACAACTGCCATGTTGAGTGGCAGCCGCCTCAAGCAAATATGCAGTGGCTACAAAACTTTAAAAATTTTTACCCATGTACTTCAAAATATCAATTTTTAACTACTTAAGAATATTTTATTTTTTATTTTGTACTAAAGATTTGATTTTTGCAATAAAAAAATTTGACAATTTGTGTACCCAAATCATCAAAATAACTTGACAGTTAAAGGGTTAAAAGGTTCCTAAAAAGTTGTCGAGATATTGGGAGTCGAGTTTGCAGGATTCCACTATATTGCTATGTGTATCATTTGTCATTGCGATTTTTCGATTTCACAGAGTGGAAAGACCAGTGTTCTTAAATATGTGTGTAGACAAGAACAATGGAAGTTGTATTTGAAAAAAAAATTCTATGGAAACAAAAGACCAAAAAGATTTTAATGCAGAATGCTTGTTCTTTGCCTTTTTACTGGAGCACAACCTGCCACTGAATGCATCAAATCATGCTGAAGCTTTTTTTATAAAAATGTTACCGGCAGTAAAATCACTAAGAAATACTTAAATGCAAGGACCAAAACGGCTGCAATTGTAGAAAAATTAGTATGAAAAATGAATTTTCAGTTGCTGATTTCATAAAAACAGGTCCATTCTGCCTGTCTACAGATAGAAACAATAATACTGATGCAAAACTGTATCCAATTGTTGTTTCTTGTTTTTTAAATTCAGAGTCTTCAGAAATTAAGTGTAATTTACTTTCTGTTCCCTCACTTTAGAAGGAGATTCGATGCTATTTTGGCAAGAAAATTTCAAGAAGGAAGATTTCTGATTGGAGGCTGACTAAAAAAAAGTTAGCTGTTAAGAAAGAAGGTGAAATTGGCAAAAAGTGCTCTCTTAGAACTATGAGGCATGGAATTTGAAAATGGTAGAAATTAGATTTTGTAGTCAAACAAATATTTTTGAAAATAATTATTTTGTCCAGAAGTCAAAGAAGCAGAAGATAGTATTAGTAAATAGTCTGCACTCACATATTAGGCTGCTATAGAGATTTTTATGAAAAGAAGGTGGCCAAATTATTAAACAAGAAGCTGCCAGAATGTATATATGGTAATTGATTTTAAAAGGTAAATCTAATATCCAAAGTTAATAAACACTTCCTGCATTATTCTCCTTGAAATCTCTATTTTCAACAAACTTAAAGCCTTTCACCATAAACTTAAAATTTCATTTCTTCACAAAAAAAAAAAAAAAAAAAAAAAACTTGTTCCTCACAAGAGACCTTTAGGTTGCCACATGGTTCTATGCTGGTCCACTTCGTGTAAATGAGATCTTAAGGCCATTGAAGTAGTTGACAGGGCAATATTTATTAAATTTCTTCTCCTACAAAAAATTATTAGTAGCAAGAGGAAATCTTATTTTGCTGTTAACAAAGAAAGGTCTGTGCTTTTGAGCTCTCTTTGCTATATCTTATGTTTTATGTTATTTTCTGTTGTTAGAGAATCTCACTTTTCGCTCACTGTAAAAGTTAAGGCAGAAACAATTTTTCTCGGCTGACTTTCTCATAGAGCAACAATTTTAAGGATCTGCGCATGTGCCAAAAATTGGTCATGTTCTCTGCCGCGATTTCAGAACTGGCGTTCACTGCTCACTAACGTACGATAAAATCGGGGTCTCTAGCCAATAAGATTGCTTTGAGTGATCACGTGCTTTTCTCCTCATTTGGAATAATAAACATGGCTGTATTTCATTAGAGCGAAACTCAAATTTTTCAACTAATAGATTTCTATAGAGAAAATGTTGTGGGACACGAGTAATGTAAATTTTAAAAATAAAAAATTGAGGGATTCTCCTTTTTTGGTAAGTTTTGTCTTCCCCATTACTTTACATATTCAAATATTTTCTATTCGGGGTGAAAATTATTTTAACTCCCCCAAGAAAAATTCCAAAAACTATTAATGATGTCATGTCATAGGTACTAGATGAAAATATTCAGAAATTACTTGAAATTGTGGTCGCACTTATCGAAAAAATTCAAAAAGGAAAATCTCCAGTCGAGAAATTACGGGCCGGTATTAAAGCAGAGCAGAGACTCATTGACTTCGCCGAAAATGAGAGTTAATCAGGTGACGAAGTACGTAGCTTTTCCGACACCTGCTGTACTAGCTATCGTAGCCCAGTGGTAGAGCAGAGCAGGTTTTCTCCATACATTGAGATCGTGGGTTTCATCCCCCACCTTAATTTTGAACTTTCTGCGCCTGCAAGGACATTTTAATTTCGTTTCTCCATCATTAATTTCGAACTGTATTACTTAAAAGTCACTTTTTTTTCGCCTACAGGTGTAGTGTTTATCGAATTTTAACTCCTTTGTTTTTATTTTTTGATTGGCCTTTGGCACGTGTTTTAGATCTACTGGTAAAAACTTTAGTAGTTGCGTACCAGCTCAAAAGAAAGTCACAAACTCAGTTTTGTGTTAATTGAGTTTTGCGAAAACAAATTACAGCACAATTTAATACAATATTGCTAAATTTTATTAGCTGATTTCAAGATTTAAGTGCACAAATAGAGCCAGAAAATTAAATTTAAAAAATAAATAAATAAAATAAAAAAGGAATAATCTGTGTACTCACTACACAAAGGAAAAGCATATTTTTTTAAAATTTTGCTGCAAATTAAATTTAGCAAAAAATCAAAATTATGCGGCATCATCCATACATAATTTCTGAATTATACTATGTCTTCAATACGCAACTCCTGGAGCAGGTTATTACGCTCACCATGAATTTCTCATCGTTTGACCCAATTTCTGGTCCAAATGCATTTTTTCCCCCTTCTGTAGCAGTAGCTAAGTTCAAATTTGTAGCTGTATCTATAATAGCAATTTAAAGTAAAATAGTCTTCCATTATTTTGACTGTTTGACAATACTGTAAGCTTTGTTTACAAATCGTAGACAGTGTGGTGATGTAGAGGGCGGGAACACTTCGTTTCACAGTGATTGGCTGAGTGAATTCCTGTACTAATGAAAAAATCATTCCTTGTGGACGAGCGAGCTATCTCAGATATTGTCGGCCGAGGAAATCGCTATGTGTAGACGGGCCTTTAGAGTTACATTTTGATGTTTAGTTAGACTTAAATAAAATTCATTCTTTAATGGCATTATGAAATGTCTAATTTCTCAACTACAGAAATTTTGAAACAACATCTTACAAAGATTTTAAAAGCACATACTTTTGTTTCTTAAGATGCTTCCTAAACTATGTTTTCTATTTCTTTAAAAAATTGGCAAATTGTCATAACATCGATTCATGACATAAAAAGAATATTCTTCAAATTATTTGATTTAATTTATTTATTGTTTAATTTTTTTTTGAATTTTTACATTTTTTAGTGTGCCAGGAGAATTTTCTGGCATGCCAAGTTTGACAGTTGTGGCATGTAACTGCCATCGCTGCTCTCAGCTGTTAAATAGTTAATGGTAATAAAATATGCATTTTTGTATTTCAGTGAAATATTTTTTAAATGCAAAATATATTTTGTAGTGGAAAAAATTTCAATATAATTTTAGAATAATAACTGAAAATACATTTTTAGTCTCAAAATACAGTTTTACATCGATTCACTTTAAATATTATTTACTGTAAATGGGTTGTTTAACTTTCCATTCAAGGCTGTTGCCATTCGGCAAAATATAAGATATTTATTCTTCAAATTTAATCTATCTGTTACTGATGAACAAGCTAAGCTTTTAAAAGCAATAGATGCAGTTGTAAATTTTTTTTTAACTTTTTAATCCAATTAACTTAATTCAAGGCATGTGTAATTAAAAACATGAAATATTTTTATAGAATTACTTTATACAGTACAAATTCCGAAACCGGACTCTTCGGGACTTCTGTGATTCCGGATTTGGGATTTTTCCGAATAATAGATCATCAATGTAAATCTGGTAAGATGGCATGCAGAAATTATACAATTAAAAATATGAAATCGTAATTTATGAAATAAAGAACAATTATTTTCTAAAGGGTATCAAAATTTACAAAAAAAAAAAAAAAAAAAAAAAAAAGCTTAGTATTTATTTGTTTGCTTTATTAAACATTTCTTTCAATGTAAGTTGTTTACGTTGCTTCCATAAAAAATTCAAAAAGTTCCTTTTTCTTATGTCATATACAGTTGACTTTCCAATGCCATACTCCTCGCATAATTTTGAGACAGATATATATGCCTTTATACATTTTTTGCAGCAATTCCACTTTTTGTTTAATGGACATCGAAACATGGTTTTGCTTTGTAGATCCTTTGGCAGCTCCAGAACTGGAAACTCTTTTCGATATAATCGAAAGTTCAAGCTTAATTTGTATAAAATTACTGTAATAATAACTGTCTACAAAAAAATAATAAGCTAGATCAAATTAGAAGATTAAGGAGCAGTGCAATCTGCTACATTAACAGAAATGCCTTAGAATCAGCTAAGATAATTTTAGCCTAGCTTAATAGCATCCGTTATACATTATTGACTGTGTATCACAAGATTGGCGATGAAAGCCAAGTTGTTCGGCTAAATTTTGTCCTGTTCTTATTGCATACTGAATTAAGCCTGAATTGTATTAGTTATGTACTATACCTACTTTTATTTCTTGCACATACTTAAAACTAATCAGAGTCCTGAATAAATAAACTCCCACATATACTTAAAGCTTTATCTAAGGCCGGCACTAGATAGCACCTGGTGCAGTCTCTAAATTCTGCTACAAAGCGCTTTCCTAAGTTCTAAATTTTCACCACGCCTAAACTTTGGATCTCAGTGCTTTTCCCCCTAAATTATAAAAACTTCTCATCCCTTAATTTTGCCGCTCAGTGCTTCCCCAAATTCCAAACATTGTCTGCCCTAAATTCTGCTGCTGCTTCTGGGTTTATGGTGAATAACATATCAGTTATTCTTAATTAAAATAGCACTAAATGTAATCTTTTGGTTTATGAGTTTCATTAACAAAATCTATTTTTAGCATATGAAAAGAATTTTTTGTTGAATTTTTCCTCATCAACACTTCTTAGAGCATTTAAAAAATCTATAATCATCCCTAAGCGTAATGTTAGCAGAAAAGGTAGCCTTACTCTTGTTATTCAATTACTAATATAAAAAAAAAAAGTTTAGACATCACTGCATGAGTTATTACTGAAGCTGGCATGTATTGATAAACATGTGGTGTTGAAAGCAAAATATAAATAATGACTCTCTAGGTCCATGTCAGGGATATAAAATAGGTGAATGTTTTGGTTTGAGATGTAATGCCAAGCAGCCACTGAGTTGGGGAGCCAAATTATTAATCTCACAATTTATGCTTACATGATTGTTTTTTCATAACGATGTATTTTATTTAGTGCCTAAGTGAAATTAAGAATCAGAATTTTTAAGCAAAAATCTCCTCACATTTTATTTCCCACCAGCGGCCGAGCGGTAAACACTGGTAGTTCGGTCCGAGGTTCGAATCCTGCGAACAGGCTGGCTGCATGGGCCTTTTCGTGGTTTTCCCCATGTGTAACGTGTATACGAGCCAGTTTCCCTTAGAAAGTCCTCCACGAAAGGCATCCCTCCCCTTAGGCAGATAGCCCCAGTGTGCTTTGCCATTATTAAATACACCTCACATTTTATTATGGAAGGAAAAATCAAATGCGCATGTGTAAAGCAAAAAAGTTTGTGGCTTTGAGGTCCGGATAATGGACGTCCGGATTTCGGACTTTGCATTATATATATATATATATGTATATTCAACTGTGTATATATATATATATATATTTAATTTTCAAGTATACAGAAAATATTTAATGTTCTATAATGTAAGTAAATTTATATCAATCTAGTATCCTATAAATGTTTTGCTATTCCACCTATGATAGTGATAAACCATATTAAACTTTAAAAGAGCCCTTTTGTTCTTTTTATTTTTAGTTCAAATATTTTTTTGAACATGGAATTCTAATAAAAGTGTGCATTTTGTTTTTCAGTGCACAATCTACAGCCTTTTGCTGCAAATCAGGTTAGTACTGAGATATGCTATCCTTTTATCATCTGTAATTTTTGTATAGTATTTTAAAGTGGCATGTCTTCAAACTTAATTATCTGGATAAGTATTTTTAGTGGCTTTTTATTTTTTTGCTTTATGTTTTGTCTTCAAATACTCAGAATTTTTTGCCAAGTCCTGTTTTGAAACTTAATTTACCTTCCTTTTAAAAATGTGAAGGAAAAAATTCTATAAATTAATTTATTTATAAATTTGTGTTAAACTGTATTATCTATAAGAATTATTACATGTGCTGTGTTTAATTATACATTCTAGTAACTACACTGATGTGCAAAACTTAATGTCTGACAAATGTTTCATATAATGGCATCTGACAGATGAAGAATGAAAGATTATGAGGATTTGCATAGCTAAAGTTTAGGGACAAAGACACTGCATAATCATATTTTTGATAAGTGATATGGTATGTCATGTGACTGAATAAAATAGAATAGAAGCAGATTTTTCTGATGAAGAATGGGAATGGAAACTAAGTAAATGCAGTATTTTAAGAGGTTTACATGAATTTTTATTCTGTTACAAATAGAGTGCTTACAAGAATACATTTATATGATTATGCAGGGTGATTTGCTACCACACCAATAAACTTGAAGTATATGTAAGGGGTACAGAGACAACTTGGAATCATGTAAGAATGCAGGGTCGCAAATGCTGTAGTGCTATGCGCAAAGAAAGAAATGAGCTGTGGTGAAAAGAAGCAGAGAAAAAGAACACAAACAGTAATACATTAATGGGACAGAAAACATTTTATTGAAAGGTTGTACTACAATAGGTCTTCGAATTTACGACTAGAAGTCGCCGGGCAGCCCTGACAGCAGCACTACATGGAATTCCTTACGTTCTGGAAGATTCCTTCTGGCCTTACGGTAGATGGCGCTGAACAGAAGATTGCAGAACAGAGATCCTGCTGGAAGTCATCATTTGTGATCCATTTCCGGAGGTAGTAGGATAAGCGCATATTCAAATGATGAACTGGTCAACATGCTGATTGTGTATGAAGCTGCAGGTTGTAGTGGATACATCGCTGGGGATTCTAGTGGATATGTTGCTGTGGACACATTGCCAGTAGTGTACAGCATATGTTAATAGTGCTACTTATAGTGAAGAAAGAGAGACAGGTTGTTGAAAACAGAAAAATTTCGATTGAGAATTTAGTGGGAATTTTCAACACAGTTACAGGATTTGGACAATATATCTTTGTAACTGAAGAAGAAATTATGAACAAGAATTAAACAAAAAGTTTTAACATGAAAAGTGAAGCAACTTTTACATTGAAAGAAATCAAAATCCCACTGAGTTTAGATTTCAGATTTTGTACTGTATTTCCAGAGGTATATGGCATGCAAAGACTGAACTATAAACAGTTAAGTATGATATTCACTACAAATGAGACTTTACTGACTGCAATTTTAGAAGCAATTTTTAATGCAAGTTGATCTGGAAAGAGAACATGATGTCTTTTAGAAATTTTTACTGAGATGCATTAGTAGGATAGCGCATGTATTAAAATCTGTGGTGGCATAATTCTCATTGGTTGTACATAATTCCGTATTTTTGACCCAAAAAACTACTTCTGCAGTCAGGTGACCTTTTCTCGTGTGTCTTTTCTGAGGTTCCATTGGTTCTGACTTTGTTTTTTACAAATGATAATGCCACAGCATAGATGCTGTAGAGCGTTATTGAAAAATAGAGCTATCTTTTATATTGATTGACCAGCAAGATCTTCAGATCTCAGTCCATCATTGCAAAGGTATTGCCAGAAGAAATGGTTCTGAAAACTCATGGCATGTATTTGAACCATTACAATTTATTTGAGACATATTTTGTATTTTATTATAATGCATACATCTATGTATCATCTATATTAATATGTAATATAAATTTGGAATTTTAAGAGGAAATTGAGGACATTCAGAGCTACAATCAGATGCAAAAGTACCTATGATTAGGTAAACAGTTTAATGAAGAAGGAAAAAAAAAACTGCCAACTTGAATACAAAACATTTTTAAATACATCTAAATTCATATTTCATTTAAAAAACGTTTTGTGTCCTACTGGTTGTAATCTATTTTCTTTAAATTTTATGTATGTGTATATATAAATATAAATATACAGTGAAGTGTTTTATATTGTAAAACTCAAGTTATTGAAAAAACAGAGAAATTTTTCAAAAATAATTTAATAAAATTATTTTTCATTTCCTTTAACCTCAATAGAGGATTTTCAAGCTTGAAAGAAATAACTTTAAATGTATTTTGAAATTTATTTAAAATTATAGACTAACTTCTTTGATTTTTCTCTTGCTTTTATGGTTCTGAAATATGTGTGATTTCGCAGGATTTCTGAAATATATGTGTATCAGAATTTCACATTTCAGCTAGTTAGTCCAAGCTAACTCCTTTTCTTTTTTTTTTCCTTCAAATGATTGAAAATAAAAAAGCAAAACAATGTTTACATACAAAATTAGTGTCTCTCTGAATATCAGTACAGTGTTACCTTGAGATATGAGTGCCCCAACATATGATTTTTTTTTAATATGAGCCGTCACTAGGTCCAGCTTTTGGCCTGAGTTATGAGTCAAAATATCAGATATCAGGTAGCCTCAGTTCTTGGCGAGGGATGGATGTAGCTAATGAAAACTAATGAAAACTTCAATTCAGCACGAGCTCCATAGCATCAGTTTTGATCGACTTATAACAAAAACCATTGTGAGACTAAGAACTGACCGTCACAGTGGACTGAAAATTAACAAAGAGGGTAGGAAAACCTACAGAAACTGCCATAACTGCCCTGAACACAGAACTGATAACTGCACACATTTTTGATTATCTGGCCATCCTTGCTGAATTGCTAAAAATTGGGGGTCTTGTTTCAGAGACCAAAGCTCTATGATGATAACATTCTGCAGATTGCCAAGGCTGTCATCTTTACCCATGGCACGATTTGAATAGGCTGTATCATAGACATGACAACAACAACATTAATCTCCGTTCTGCCAGTAATCATATGCTATAATTTTAAGTTTCCTTGGCATATCTTATGATGTTTCTTTCTTTGCATCTCATTTGAAATTTGTTTCTAATTTATTTTGGTATGCTAATACATGCTTTACATTCAAACACTTTAAACTAAATAACACTGAGTTTTCTGTGGAGGAACGTTTCATGCAGGATTTGGTTTTTCTCGTGATACATCCTGTTCCAAGTATATAAGAAACATCCAAGAGCTTCTGCCCATCATTCCTTTCCCATTTTGCTATTATTAAAGATAGCTTTAACTGCATGTAAATACTGTTTGGTTAAAGCGTTCACACACACATACACTGTTTTCTTCTAAGGTGCATGCATCTGTACATTCAACACCATTTTCATTTCTGTCTTTCAAATTGCCTGTTACAGTATTCACCACCATGTATTAATAAATTTCATCGTTTCATGTATTAATAAATTTTCTATTTGTCAGTTTTCCCATTTGCCTATGATAGTTTTTTAAAGTTACTGAATGATTAATTTTATTCATTTAGTATACAGTTACTAATTTATTATGGTCTTCTATGACAGCAAAGAAATATTTACTCATATCTTTAGATTGATCAGGAGCGGACCATAAACATCTAAATAAACCAACTCCAATGGTTTATCAGATTTCCTCAGAATGGCTTTAAAAGATATTCTATTATTTTTTGTAATAATATATGGTTCACACTTTGGTTCTTCAGTTTTGGGTAACTCTTTCATGCTTTAATTTTTATTAGTGTTATGAATATAATCAAAATTTATGTGGCAAAATCTTCAATGCTTTAAATTTGTATCATCTGCTTCATTTAACTTGCCGTTTTCTGTAACCAGTTTTCTTTTTGTCTGTTGCATACCTAAGTAGTTTTATATAATAGAGTCCCTCATAGTATTTCACGTAACATAATCTATCCTAATTATTGCAGTATATCCACATTTTCCCATTTGAACCTACAAATTTGGCATCAGCCTTTTCTAACCTTGCTTCCAATAGGAAATTTTTTCTTAGGTTCGGATTATATAACACATTTTCTAATTCAATCCAATTTATTCAATTGTCTACTTATACTGTTACTATCTTATTCTTGATGGTAACTTTCCACAATACTTTACTTTCAAAATTTCCTACAGCTAGAGACATATGTACATCATTTATTTCTTCAAAATTTATCATTAAATTTCTAATATTACAGAAATTAGTTGTAGCTGCCATATCTAAGATCCAATTAAATTTATCTGTTTTACCTCCTTTATCTGTAGTTAACGCATAATTTTATACTAATATTAATTCTTTTTTTTTAAACTGCCCCTTTTTATCATCTATTTAAACTTTTAGGTTTTATTTAATTTATTTAAATTTTCTTTATACACTCTGCAATTAAGTGTCCAAATGTATGAATGACGTCTATGACGAGGTTCTATCTTCGTAATCTCTATTTTTTTCTTAAATTTAATTTTAGTTTCAGTTCCATTTTTGACTGCATTTGTGCTAATAGTATTAAATATGCTGTTTTCTAAATCAGCATGTACCTTTCTGATAAAGTCAATTTTCTTTCCTTACCAGTCACCTTCTGTGATTTTTTTCCAATGTAAAAGCCTTGTCCTTCAATCTGTAAATAAGTTGTACAATACTTGAGTATTCTTGGGGTGAATACTGAATTGCTTGAAATCCTTTAAAAAGATCTGCTGTGTTGCTGAGGTTGCATCCAGCTTCAGCCAGCTTGGTTAGCAGTCATTTTTATCCTGTTAATGAATAACCCAATTTCTTCATCGGGTGCATATCTAATGCTGAAAAATTCATCATATAGATGGACTACTGTTGCTCTTTTTGGTTCAGATTGCTTTTCTAGAACCTCTCATGCTTTTTTACCATTGGAATGTTCTTGTGTCAATGGCCTGAACTTCGTTTTAATTCCGTAATATAATGTAGTAAAGGTTGTATTTTCTCTCAATGTTAAAATCCTGCTTCTTTTTTTTTTAAACTTTGATCCAACGTTTCTTTTTTATCTTCTATAAAGCTCCAGCAATTTGTATCCAGCAACAGCATCTTTATGTCAACTTTCCATCAAATCTAATTGTCATGGTTTAACAGTTGAAACCCTTCTGGCAGTAATGGCATCTTCAGTTACACATGAACAGAACTTGAACCAACTTCTAAAAGACATCTGCCTTCTCGTTTTCATTTTTTGCAGACAGCAGCTCCTTCATTTGCATTTTGTTAATATTGAGGTGCCTGTACCCATCACCTCAAGGCATGGAGAATATGTAGCCATTTATTGAAAAGCATATTTTGCCTTTCATAAATAAAATGCCAGAACTAATCTAAAACAAATCTAACATTTATTTTTACTTATAAATTAAAACAACTAGTCTTTGCATTAAAACCAAAGCAAAAGAAGGGGGAAACAAAAAACGAACGAGTACTCCCAAGTTTACCGACTGCATCGTATATATATAACCTGACACATGGCTGTTGGCCAAAATACCAATACTAGGTTAGCAGCAACCATGTTAATTTGCTGCCAATTGACGTCTGATCAAATTTGTTGGAGTAGAACAAAACACTAAACCAACATTGGTGACATCACAGCCAGTTGGCATGTGCAAGACTCCCAAATCTAACCACCAATTAGATTTGCAAATCTTACATGCACAAACTGGCTGTGATGTCACCACCTCTCAGATTCATCCAGCATTTTAATTCAGCTTGCCGCAGAAACATTTCTGCATGTTGTTTTATACCTTTTATTTGGCATATATAGTTTTTTTTTTTTTTTCGGGGGGGGGGCATATAAACATGAAACCTAAGAAGATGAGTGTAAAGAATGGTGGTGAGGAACAAAAGTGTGATATCCATGAAATTAAAGCATGAGATAATAGACAAACATAAGCAAGGTGTAAGAGTAATAGACTTGGCAATGCAATATGATCACACAACTTTTATGATATGTGGTATTCTGAAGAAGGACTTAATAGAGGCTATAATTCCAGCTAAGGTTATCAAAATTATTCAAAAGCTATGAAACTCTGTCCTTAGAAAGAAAGGAAATTTCATGTTTTTGTGGCTGAAAGAGAAGCATCCCACTGAAGACACTGTGTGCAGAGACTGTTATTTGTGATAAGGCACAGCACAGGAGGCTTTACAGTAGCAGTTTAGAGCCAGTTGGGGGGGTCGAGTATTTCGAAAATCGAACAAGCATTCACTCTGTTATGCTGATTGTCACATACCAAACCTTGAGGTTGACATTCTCAAGAAGTTAAACTTTATAAAGATTCTCTATCTTCCACCCAACACTACCTCTATCCTATAGCCCATGGATCAACAAGTGAACTCCATTTTCAAGAAATGTTTTACCAAACACCTGTTTCAATACTGCATTGAGAGCACAAACCTCATGCTTTGAAAGTTCTGGAAGAATTACTACAACATTGCCTTGCGCTTCAACATTATTAATATGGCTTGGCATGATATTAAAAAAAAGACCTTGCCCTCTGCATGGAGAAAGCTGCAGTTGAAAGGGACTTTAAAAGTTTTAAACCTGAACAAGAAGTTCTAAAGGAGATTGTGTATCTCAGAAGGTCTGTAGACCTGGATGTGGATGAGGGAGATATCAGAGAGCTTGTCACCATATAATCTGAGAAACTTATGGAATTACAGGCACAACAACAAATATATTTTCTGCAGAAAAGCCAGAAGCAGAGGAAGTTATCTCTTCAAGTGAGGTAAAGGAAATGTAGAAAAAGTTTCAGACTTTATTCAAAAGAAACATCCTGAAAAGGTTGCAACTGGTTGTACAGCAGTGCTATTTAATTACTCTTGCCTAGCTCATTTCAGAAACATTCTAAAAGGAAGGGAAAAACAAAGCTGTTTGGGAAACATGGCAAAAAGTAAAGAACTACTGAAGAAGAAAATAAAGTTAAGCAAAAGTGAGGGCAAAGAAAAAATTAATACTTATGTATACGTCTATTTCTTTAAATTATCTTTTATTAGGTTTTATTAAACATATTATTAAATTATTAGGTTTTTTTTGTTTGTATGCAATATTTGTTCATTATATTATAATTTTCTTTTATTATATTAAAATATGTTTTTCTTATGTTAAAAACATTCAACAAAAATATTGGAATGACGTTTTGGGGGTTGCCACTAGTTGATCACATTTCAATTAATTTCAATGGGAAAGCTGATTTGAAATACAAAAATTTTAACTTACAGGCTTGGTCGTCACAGAATGAATTAAAATCATATCTCAAGGTACCACTGCACTTAAATCATTTAAATAACAGCAGATATTTAATGAATATCTAGATGAAATATTTGTGCATGCATCTATATGTTGTGCCTTATTTAAAATATTTAAAACTGTGTTCTGGTTGTGAGTACTGCAAATTTTTCTTCAGTAAGCTTAAATTTTAATTAGATGTCTCCTACTAATTGATCCTCATCATGTTGCTATGTATATTTTGACACAGTGTATAGTATTCTGAAATATTTTCCATGTACGTGTAATATGTATTTGATTCGTATATGTATAGATCATTTAAACTGCAGCTAAAACAAATTTCTATGACTGCATTTCTGCAGCTGAACTTAACGCACAAAATACGACATTTATCATTTGGGAAAACTATTCCTGGAAAAACAAATCCTTTGGATGGAACTCAACAGGTGGCCGATCAAGGTAAATTTTTTATTAAAGTAATTCACAGAAAAATTTCATTTCTTAGATTTTTAAAAAATATTGTCAGATTAAAGTTTAGAAAGTAGATACGTATTTGATGGCATATAAGACGCACCCTTATTTAGAAGGCCACACACAAGGGAAAAAAGTTTAAATAGTCCGCGCGAGAGCGCGGTACCACAATAACTTAAAATGTGGTTTCTTTTAGTTCTCACGTTTCGTAAAAGCCAAATAAACAATCATTGAATGCAATTACCAAACATATTTTTATTAAGGAAAAATTAATAAACGGCAAGCTATTTTGAACATATGTAAATTTCAATAATGAATAAATGAATGAATGGCAAGCAATCAAATATAATACAAAATAAAGCAGAAACAACAAAAAACACAGATTCAAGGAAAACGTTGCCTTTCATGAAATCAGACTCTAATCACTTTCAAAATCAAAAAATCCTTTTCACTATCATCATCATCGAAAACGAGAATATTGTCATCACTACTGTTTCCGTCATCGTTACTATCACCTTCTTCGAATAATGCGTCGTCTTCTGTTCCGTCAAGAGCATTACTGATTCTGCACTTCTTAAAGGACTTAACAATTACTTCAGCCTTTACGTCCTTCCAAGATCTTTTTACTCACTCGTACACTTGTGAAATAGAGGGCCGCTTCATTCTACCTGAGGGTGTGGCAGCATGATGTGGCTTTCCTATCCACTTGTTCCATCATTCACGCACTTTTCCTTAAATGGCTTATTCAACGATACATCTAAAGGCTGCAATTGGCTAGTCAGTCCACCAGGAATGACAGCTATCTGGGATTTTAATTCTCTCGCTTTATTCTTTATGGTTTCAGTTCTATGGGCACTAAACTGATCCAAAACCAAAAGGGAGGGTTTTCTTAAGAGTCCACCAGGTCGCCTCGCCCATACGTTCTGTAACCACAGTTTCATTCCGGCTTCGTCCTTCCAGCCTTTCGGATGAACATGAACAATTACACCCATTGGAAGTTTTTCTTTTGAATATGAAAAACGGTAGTAGTTTGTGCCATCAACACAACATGTTAGAACTACCGTATATTGGGTTTTTTCATGACCTGTGGTTCTTATGGTTATTGATTTAGATCCTTTAATACTCACAGTCTTGTTAAATGGTACATCAAATGTGAGTGGAATTTCATCCATTCTTCCTATTTGACCGAGCTCAAAAGAAGTTTTCTTGCGTGCATTTATTACAAACCTATGAAATGCTAGTATTTTTTCTTCATAATCTGCTGGCATTTTCTGTGCAATGGTTGTTTTTGTGCACATTGATAAGCCTTGCCTTTTCATGAACCTGTAGCACTAGCCCTCAGACCCTGAAAAGTTCTGATTCCCATGTTTTTCTGTTTGATTATCATTTTGGTTGAAACACTTATCCCAGATTTCCTCTTATCTATCACCCACGTTTTTACGGCATTTTCAAGTTCAGGCCAAGATGGAGCTGGGCATCAAATGTTATGTTTTTATTTTTTAGCAGTCTTCAGTTGATCTTTCTGCAGTTGCTAAGTATGTATTATTTTTTCGGTAGGTGGTGGACCGAAATGCCTTGCTGCTGCTCTGTTTCCATGCACTTTGGCGTAGTTTAACACTCCTAGTTTATATACTGAATTGTATAGCTTAAGCTCTAGTTTCCTGTAGTCATATTTTCCAGGGTATTTTTTTAAAACAGATAGTTTTAAGCACTGACATGTTTATACAGAGTAGCACCGATACTGACACGTGTGTCGGCTGAGTCAAAGAAAGTCTATGTAAAGAAGGAAATGCTCCATAGACGTAATGTGACCCTCGAACCTGTTTGAACTTTGACATCAGCTTCGAGCTTTGGCGCTTTTTGGCGACAGATATTTCACGCATGCGCAAAATAATTATGGCAGATGTAGAAAAAGTTATGCATGTCTAGACCTTTATCTGTGCTAAAAATATCATTCAGTATTGAAAGTTAACCTGTGTCTTTTACATATAAGATGCAGGTAACTTTTTTAAATAAAATTTAGGGAAAAAAGTGCATCTTATATGCCTTCAAATACTATATTTAAAATCTTGGCATTCTAAATCAGTGGTTTTCAACCTTTTCAGGTTTTTGAGCTACATAACTCTGCAAAGATGTGCTTACCTTGTTGTTATTTACCACCAAAAATATGCTAAAAGTGGTATATGTAATTTGAAATGATTACATTATAACCTGTATTATTATGATTTAGATAAAATTACATTTACCTTTTCCAAAAAATATTTATTAAGAAAAAATTCGTAAATGTTTGAAGTTAATGAAAAATATCTCTAATATGAGCATCAAAGCAATTTCGTAAACATAATTCCATCTTGTCTGATACATATGACAGAGAAAATTTTGTTATTTTACGTTTTATAAGATTCATGTGAAAAAACTGTAGCGTTTTACAAATATGTGCTTTCAGGAAGAGATGTCATTAAGAAATGTTTTTGAAGTACTGTAAATTTTTCTTTAAAAACAATTAATAACTACCCCTTCCCCTTTTTTTAACTTTGCCTTCCCTTGCTTCAACTTTGTATGCAAGGGAAGGCAAAAGCATTTGCAAGTTTTTGGATAATTTTGATGTCAGTTAAGAATGGACTAGAAAATATATTAAATATGTATAAAGATTACATTTCCAGTTTGGAAGACAGATACCATGTTATGGTGCAACTGGTCCACAATTATGTTCAGATAGTGTGCATTTTTTATGGTCTTTTCTACCACAACTAAGAATACAAGAGCCGCCCATGAGAATGTCCCCCAGAGCATATACTACCACCACTAGCCTGTGTATGCCTTGCTGTTTGGGGGGAAGCAACTCTTTGCCTGGAAGGCGGCGCACCCTGATATGATCATCGATATGATAAATGAGAAATACAAATTCATCTGACAATGCAAATGTCTTCCACTTATCCATGGTCCAGTCTAAATGTTCTCAGGCCTGCCGTGGGCATAGTTAACAATGAGGCTTGCTCAACAGAGGCACACAAGTGGAATGTCTGCCACACAGTCTCATATCCAACAGTGACCACTGAATTGCGTGTTGCAAAACACTTGCAGTTGGACCTGCATTGTATTGTGCTGTCAGTTAAGCCACTCGTCTGGTGCTGATTTTGCTGTACCAAGTGGGATAGTCTCCCGCATCCTTTTTCTTTAATGACGTGGACTTTCAACACCTTGGCGTCTACTGCTGGTTTCACAATCATTTATCTGCTGCAATAAACATTAGGTGTTTGCATTGCTATACATGCTCAGCTAGTGAACACTGGAAATTTTGTTATGGGAAAGTAAGAGCAATAAGTGTTTGAGTTAAAATTAAAGCAAAATAACAGAGAATTACAAATATTGGCAGCATGGTGCTTTCTGGACTAGTTTAATTTATGCAAATCAGTATGTTAGTGTAAAAAAGCATAAATTAACTTGATTATATTATTTCCAACAATAACTTTTGTCAAAAATAATATGTGCAGTACTGTGTTAATCAGTACTCAGCATTTTTTTAGAGTAAATTAATGTTATTAATTCTTCTCTTAGTTTAGCTGGAATGTTTATAACAGTGTTTTTTAATATTTTTGATAAGTAGAACTCTTTTTTTTAATGTTCACTTTCTTTGAGGAACCTATAAGCTTTCTTCAATAGTATAGTTTTAATGCAGTGTTCTGTAGACGGATCATTTGCCAACAAAAATGACAATTTCTTCAAATTATCTGTTTTTGTTTCAAAAAGTATTTTCAGAATTAACCCAAATGGTATTGCTTTCTATTGTTGCAGATATACTTAATACTAGGCTTTATGACTTAAAAGTTTAATTCTCATGTCAGATTTGAAATCAAGTCTCGTGTGGCATTTATTTTATTTCTCGTGTGATACAAAGCTGAGAACCACATTTTGCACAAACACATAGTTGCAACTTGCAAACGTTCCAGCACAGCCTTTTGTGACAATTGGGAATATTCATCTTTTAAACTACGTCAGAGTTCCACTAGTGGCATTATTTTTTTTTTCAACAATCGGTCAAATATGATTTCAATAAAAGTTTTGCATTCTGCTGACATGGTCAAAGGTTGTGCATTTACAATAAATGAGTTTTTAATCCACAGTTTATTTCTATATTAATCTGCTGTTCGTTTGGAAAATAGTAATTAAAATCTTCACTCGACCTTTTCAAGTGTTGAATAATTTATTCAATAAATGTCAACTCTGTCCTATTTCAACTCTGTCCTCTTATGAAAAGCCTTTTATTTGTTGTAAAGCAGTCAAAGTTGTTGGAGTACAATTCTGTCTTTTTCTTGAAAGCAAGAATTTTTTCATGAGCAGTAAATACATTTACTTGTTTGCCCTGAAGTTCATTGATTTTTGTAAAAATGCTGCTTAAACAGACAGTTTTAATCAGCCAATTTCTATCAATTCGAAATTGTGTTCTGGGGAAAAAAAAAAAAAAAGCACACTTCACCTCTGAGCTAAAAAATAATGGACTTTGTATATTTTCTTGAGATAACAATCTGACTTCAGTATGTAAAAGAAAAGATGTATGTATACTTCCCCTCACATGTTATTTTGAATAAATGAATATTTAGTGGCCGAGGTTTAATGAAGTTAATGATTTGGAAGACCTTATGAAGAGTAATTTTGTAACTGGGGATATTTTTTTTTGCAGCAAGTACCTCCCTATAGATCTTACAGTGGCTACAAGAACAGTTTTGGCAATATTTTTAATAAGCTATACAGCTTCATTAATTATGCCACATTAGTACATATATCAATGATATCAATGCAATTGTCCCGTGGTATTTTATTCTCTTCAAGAAAAGAATTTAGGAGACTCCAGTAGTACATGTTGATACAAATTTGCATAACAGAAAATTTTCCAGTAATGTATTTTCATGCTGATACCTAATAATGATAATTAATATTGTAAGTGCAGCTACATCTGTAGATTCATCCATTTATGAAAATTTTCATGA